ATCAATACATCCAATTATGTTAGGAAATCCTGAAATCTGAAAGAATAATCTGACTGTACAAAAGTAAAAGCGGCATTATACAATCGTTCCCTTGATATGAGAAGTCTTGTAACTAGAAAAGGTGGCAGATAATGACTGATTACACTCTGAGCACCTTCTTCTTCTTTGTTGTCGAATACTTCAAATTCAAATTCAAATTCAAAAGCATTTATTTGCCAACAACCTAAATATAATAACATAAACTGAATACTTAGATAATTTCATGACAAAAAGGACATCTTCTCGATTATAAAAACCGCTTACATATTGCACCATAGTGCCTATGCGAAGCTGCCCTGTGATTATTCCTAATTAATATATTAATATATTACCCACTTAAATTATTAAATTACACAAAAAAAAAACTACTTAAATAGAGGTTTATAATCCTATATTCTAAACAAAGCTGATGCGGTATGGAGAATGAAGAATGAAAGCTGGGCGGCAACCGAAAAGGAGACAGGGAGGACAGGGGGCGAATGTAGTCGTAGTAGCGTATGAAGTTGATCCCAAGTTAGAGTTTTTGCACATAACTGATATCTCCGTTCCTACCATAAGGCCTTACCAATAAACAGTTAAAAAGCACTTACCCTGTTCTTCTAATAGTTTTAATTTAACCTGCTTCGAAAACGACTCCGGACCACAAGTTTTCATCGTCACAGGCAAATTATTCCACATTTGAACTGCAACAAATGCAAAAGATCGCTGAAAAGTTGCATTCCTATGCTGTGCCAAAACAAAATGTTCATTGAGCCTAGTATTATGTCTGTGACTAGAAATTGCAAAAATACTCTTCAAATATCCTGGTCTGCCCTGTTTGATAATTCTATAGATAAAATTATACATGTGTTTTTTTCTTCTGTTTTCCATGTTTAATATATTATTAGTATTTAGGTATGGCGTGATATGGTCTCTATAAGGAATGTTAAATGAAAATCTCATACAGCTATTTTGAATTTTTTGAATCATTCGTTTTGTTCGCCCTATCAAGGAGCTTCCATAAACAACGTCACCGTAGTCAAAAAGAGACAGAATTAGAGACTCGCACAATTACATTTTTTGTTTTGGTGGAAGATGTTTTTTAAAATTATAAAGTTGTTTAAGGCGCAGATAAGCAGCTCTTAGTTTAAGTTTAATATGCGGCTCGAAAGAAAGAGAACTATCAAAAATCACCCCAAGATTTTTTACTTGATCTACAATGGGAATTAAATTATTGGAAATATTAAAATGCAATCTTTGCTCAATATCTTTTTTTGTATAATTATTACCTAACACGATGATTTGAGATTTTGATGTATTTAGCTTAAGATTATGATTTAGAGCAAAAAATTCAACGTTATTTATGTCATTAATAAGGTGATTTTGAACAATTTGAATATTATCTTTATTAATTGGTATATATAACTGCGAATCATCAGCATATTGTTGTAGTGTAGCTTTTTTGACAGATTTGTACATGTCGGCCACATAAATTGAAAATAGCAGAGGGGATAAGATGGAACCTTGTGGTACTCCGCACGAAACTTTTGAGACTTCAACTCGACTAACACGATTTTCCAAGTAGTTTTGGAAAAAAGCAATTGCATCATTAGATAAACCAAAATATTTTAAATTGCCAGTAACATATTATGGTTAACAGTATCAAAGGCTTTACTAAAATCAAGGAGGGCCATGCACGTACTATTCTTTTCTTCCTCATTAAGGCCCAGTTGTACAATGGGAGTTCAGGGTAGGATAAACTACAAACAGTGGTTTAGTGAACAAAGTGTGTTGTACTATACGGGTTTAGAGATAAACTTGCTGGAAAAGCTTAGTTCAAGTTAAGTCACGGATTTTGGTGGTTTAAGGCAACAAAGCTAAGTTTAAGGAAATCATAACCTTACATTTGTTTTTGTGTAATATTTTGATTACATGTTGATTTTCTATTTTCAATTCCAATTAAAATAAAGTGAAAATAGGTAGAGGCAAATAAAAAAAACAAAAATGGATTATATGGGCTACTTGAGTGATGATGAAGATTTCCTGGAACTAGTAGACATAGTTCAAGACCGGAGATTGAGACGGGTTCAACATTTTGAGGAGAGGGAAAACCACTTTGAAAAGTGGTCAGATGAGGAGTTTCTGAGAAGATTCCGTTTATCAAAAAATGGCGTAAGATTCGTTTTTAATCGAATACAACACCTAATTACTTCCCCTACAGAGAGGTATGTACATGTAGACATAATTCATATAGTACCTTACCCTGAAGATATTTTGTTTTTTTCAGAAACCATGCTGTATCTGCTAAAGACATGCTTTTGATGACGTTGAGGTTTTATGCAACAGGAAGCTTCTTGCAAGTGGTAGGAGATTTTATTGGGGTACACAAAAGTACAGCTTCCCGAGTTGTACACAGAGTTACTGTAGCCATCGCCAGCCTCTATAACGAATTTATTCGGATGCCTTCTACAGAAGAAGAAATGAGGCAATCGTCACAAGAGTTTTATAATGTAAGTCGTTTTCCAACATGCATTGGAGCTTTGGATTGCACCCATGTTCGTATATTATCCCCTGGTGGCAATGAGGCAGAATTATATAGAAATCGAAAGGGATTTTTATCATTCAATGTCCAGGCGGTTTGCAATGCTAAATGCATGTTTCAAGATGTAGTGTGTCGATGGCCAGGTTCTACACATGATGCCCTAATATTTGCAAATTCAATGCTACGAATAAAATTTGAAAGAGGGGATTTTGGTAATTATCTCATGGTTGGCGACAGTGGCTATGGTATAAAACATTATTTGATCACTCCACTTGATAATCCTGTGACTAATGCTGAAACTTTATTTAACGAGTCTCAAATTAGAACTAGAAATCCGATTGAAAGAACATTTGGCATATGGAAAAGGCGTTTTGCAATACTAGCCTTTGGAATTAGATCAAAATTGTTCAAGGTTGAAGGAATAGTAATTGCAACTGCTGTGTTACATAATATTGCGATTTTATTGAAAGAACCTGAACCACCTCAAAATCAAGAGGAGGAAGAAGTACTGAATTTTGTCAACAATGTCGATGTGCATGCACCACAACCATATAGACAAAAATATTAATTAGGTAACGGCCCAATTAAGGACCGATTGAGAAGTGTTTTATCTCTGCAAGACCATCCGTGGACGCGTTTCGCTGTATCACAGCTCATCAGCACGGTTTAGGTCCCGCAGAGAGAAAACACAACCCATTTTTGGTTCCATCCCGGAACTGGGTTTAATACAAGTAAAATGAAGACAGGGTCTCCATCTATTTTCTGATCGGCACACTAAAAATTGCTACTAACAACCGTATAAACCAGTATTAAATTAGAGCAAATCGACTCGCAAAGGCATTCGCCACAATTGCGAGAATAGCTATTCTAGTTGCCAACCAGAAGTAAAGTCGGTTGGTACCGAAAAACATTGATATTAATTAGGTAACGGCCCAATTAAGGACCGATTGAGAAGTGTTTTATCTCTGCAAGACCATCCGTGGACGCGTTTCGCTGTATCACAGCTCATCAGCACGGTTTAGGTCCCGCAGAGAGAAAACACAACCCATTTTTGGTTCCATCCCGGAACTGGGTTTAATACAAGTAAAATGAAGACAGGGTCTCCATCTATTTTCTGATCGGCACACTAAAAATTGCTACTAACAACCGTATAAACCAGTATTAAATTAGAGCAAATCGACTCGCAAAGGCATTCGCCACAATTGCGAGAATAGCTATTCTAGTTGCCAACCAGAAGTAAAGTCGGTTGGTACCGAAAAACATTGATATTAATTAGGTAACGGCCCAATTAAGGACCGATTGAGAAGTGTTTTATCTCTGCAAGACCATCCGTGGACGCGTTTCGCTGTATCACAGCTCATCAGCACGGTTTCGGTACCAACCGACTTTACTTCTGGTTGGCAACTAGAATAGCTATTCTCGCAATTGTGGCGAATGCCTTTGCGAGTCGATTTGCTCTAATTTAATACTGGTTTATACGGTTGTTAGTAGCAATTTTTAGTGTGCCGATCAGAAAATAGATGGAGACCCTGTCTTCATTTTACTTGTATTAAACCCAGTTCCGGGATGGAACCAAAAATGGGTTGTGTTTTCTCTCTGCGGGACCTAAACCGTGCTGATGAGCTGTGATACAGCGAAACGCGTCCACGGATGGTCTTGCAGAGATAAAACACTTCTCAATCGGTCCTTAATTGGGCCGTTACCTAATTAATATCAATGTTTTTCGGTACCAACCGACTTTACTTCTGGTTGGCAACTAGAATAGCTATTCTCGCAATTGTGGCGAATGCCTTTGCGAGTCGATTTGCTCTAATTTAATACTGGTTTATACGGTTGTTAGTAGCAATTTTTAGTGTGCCGATCAGAAAATAGATGGAGACCCTGTCTTCATTTTACTTGTATTAAACCCAGTTCCGGGATGGAACCAAAAATGGGTTGTGTTTTCTCTCTGCGGGACCTAAACCGTGCTGATGAGCTGTGATACAGCGAAACGCGTCCACGGATGGTCTTGCAGACATAAAACACTTCTCAATCGGTCCTTAATTGGGCCGTTACCTAATTAATATCAATGTTTTTCGGTACCAACCGACTTTACTTCTGGTTGGCAACTAGAATAGCTATTCTCGCAATTGTGGCGAATGCCTTTGCGAGTCGATTTGCTCTAATTTAATACTGGTTTATACGGTTGTTAGTAGCAATTTTTAGTGTGCCGATCAGAAAATAGATGGAGACCCTGTCTTCATTTTACTTGCATATAGACAAAACATAAATAATTTAAGAAGACGACAATTAATTGATGAATATTTTGCTCGAATATAGGATATGTGTGAAGCTTATCTTGGTTATATAAAATAAAAGATTTTTTTCAAAAGCAAATAGTTTTATTGAAGTAACTAATATGCAAAAAACAATGTAATATTTTAGTAGTCCAAACCCCTTTTCACTTTCTCATTTCTTTGAGCAGTTTAAGCTTCTGTAGCTCAAATATCTCTTTTTTCTGTTTTTGCTCTTCTTTTAAGCCTTCAATAATGATTTTCTTTTCCTCCTCACTTCTAAGTATTCTTATTTGGGATTCCCTTTTCATTATATTCAATTCTTCATCATGAAGGGCTTTCATGAGTGTAATTTTGGTCTCATGTTCTTCCTCCAAATATCTTCGTTTTTCCTCTTCTAGAGAAGACTTCACGGTTGCCCACTGACTTATTTTTTTCGAAATCACGTTGTCCACGTTTTGGCCGGTTTTTGCTAAAACAATTCAATAAGTTTAAACCGAAGCTTCAAAATTTTACATCAATACATAGAAAGGGGCTAAATACTCACTTGATGGTTTGAGAGCTTTTGACTTTGGTGTTTTCAATAAAGTAGGATTATATTTTGACCAGGTTTCTACTGGAGCCTCATGTATATCTACAACTTAAAACATTTTTTTTTTTAATTAGAAAAGTAGTAGGGGAATATTTAAATTTTACAGGCTTATTTATCAAAAACCAATCACAATCAATCAATAATCATGTTTTTAGGTTTTGTTTACCTGTTTCCTGTAAATTTTCTTCAGTGATAATTTCTTCATGTTGACCATTGTCTTCAACATATTCTATTTCATTATTTCGATCTGAAATGCAAAAAAAAATATGCAACACAGATAATAGCAATAGCTTCATTACATAAAGCATTTTTTTAAGGATGCAATTAGACCGGACAAACAATGCATACATTTTTTCTTCTAAAATTGATAAGGTATCACTAGAAACACTATTAAGTTTACTGGGGTTGTTCAAAGTTGCTTTTTTAACAAGTTTGTAGAAATAAGTAAATAATTTTCTATTATTTTTATTGTTTTTGAAACAGGAACGTATGGCTGGTTTCTTGCAAATCAGCAGTAGTTCACAATAGTGTGCCAAATAAAAAATGCTTTTTTTTGTATAGGTATTATAGGTCCTTACCAGTGTCATTTTGCGTTGCTTCCTCGGTTTCCTCAGTGTAAATAAGTATGGCTTCTATGTCTTCTAGAAACAATAAAATAAAATAAATACTTCAGATATTATTAGGTACAATAGAACTAGTTTCAAGTGTTAGGCTCAGTCTTAATTAAAATAGGGTGCAGTATACTTATCATATAAATCCTTACCTTCATTGTTATGTGTCTCCAAATTCTGGGTTGGTGAAGGAGGAGTGTGTACATTGCTTCAGTTTGGCTTTGTTTTTATTTTTTTTGGTTCTGAAAAAATATAAGCTGCATTTGAGGGGGTACCCTTGGGTTTTCTACTGGGAATTAAAACAAGGAATTTTTGCCGCTCATGATTTATGAAAATAATCAATTTACCTGCATCGCCTCCAAATTGGGTGGCCAAACCATGCACCCTTGTTTCCCCCAAAATTTCTATTACAGTTTGGTCGTCTTCCGTCAGAGTAAACTCTTGAAAAGGGCCACCACCAGTTCCAAATCTGTAGCATTTCTCTTCACTTATTTTCTTTTTTGTTTGTTTCTTCATATTCTCATATTTCTTTTTCAAAATTTGGGCACTTCTGTATGAGGCACCACTTTCAGCGTTGAATTCTTTTTCCAGCATGACCCAACACTTATTTTTATCTGCATTCGTGACGGCATCGGTTTTTTTGTTTTCCAAAATGCCTTTATGTTTTTTTACAAAATAGGCTAGGAAGGTTTCTTCCATTGGGGTAAAGTTAACTGACCTATTTTTAACTTTGCCTTTAGAGTCCATTTTTTGGTTTCACAAGACGAAATTATAAATTTTCAAATCGCAACCACAACCTTCACTAAACTAAAATCCAACAAAACTGGAAACAACGGCCCGCCAAACAACAAAAATCACATAAACATAACCTCAAAATAAAGAATATTTTCTTCTTTTTTTCTTTTTTCGCTGAGGGCGTTGCAACAAGATATATTTAGGCACCGGAATACAGCGTTGCCAAATGGTTCAAAAAAAAAACCAAGCTTAGTAAAACTCTAGCTCGGAAATATTTGTACAACAGTATCGGAAATATTTGTACAACAGTATCGGAAATTAAGCGGAAGTTTAGGAATTTGTTTGGTTTAGCTAAGTTGGGCTTTAAACTTTTATTGTACAACCGGGCCTTAAACGTATATCATTAATGGCCATATTCTCCGTATGTGAATAAGCGGAGCTTAGCGTTTAAGCCGGCTTTAAAGACACATTTGGTATGCGCCGTACGCTCAACCTACTTTAAGCCAGGTTTAAGTTAAGCTTTCAAAATTCTCGGCTTATATTGTTAAGCCAGACATCTGGAACATAATATAACCTAACTTTTTGGTTGATATGTTGGTTCTTCTTTGTCATTTTTGGAAAAAAATAAGTAAAAAATAACAAAAACATGGAAATTGCGGACGAAATAATGCTTGAAGATGACCTGGAGATCTTAGACATAATTAATTTTGGATTTCCACGACATCTCTACAATAGGCCAAACTATATTCAAGATATGGACGACTTAAGTTTTTTTAGAAGATTTCGATTGACAAGAGCCACCGTAATATCAATTTTGGAAATGATAGAAGATCCGTTATAATTTTAAAATGATTTGTAAGTATTAGTAGTATTTCATAATATTTTATGTACCTATATAAAAATCCAAACTGTTTTCAGAAATAATAGTGTATCCCCAGCAAATCAGTTGCTCACCGCTTTAATGTTTTATGCAAGCAGTGCCCATCAAATTGATATTGGTGATTTTATGCACATGGATCAAAGCCCTGTTTCCAGGATTGTAAGCAAAGTCTCCCCTGTTATTGCCAGCCTGCGAAATAGGTTTATCAAAATGCCAAACACCCCAGAGGAAATACTCAGGTGTCAAAACCAATTTTACCAAGTTGCAAGATTTCTCCGAATCATTGGATGTGTAGACAGAACTCACATTAAAATCACCTCCCCAGGTTAGTTCACACCTATCCATATAAACTTGCGTGCATAGAAATCGGCCCACAGCTAACTTTTGACTTCAAAAGAAATATGCCATTTGAAAACCTATTTAATAGGTCTGTTTTTGCAAAAATCACAAACCAATCAAAGTGAATTTCATTGGTTGAAAACAGTCAGAAAAATAGTTTCAACCAATGAAATTCACTCTGACTGGTTTGTGATTTCTGCAGAAACAGACCTGATATCATCTAATATGAGTTGAAATTATGTTTTATAATAATAATCCTATGAATAGTGTCTAAAAAAAAAGGTAAAGTCAAAAGTTAGCAGTGGGCCAATTTCTATGCACTTAAGTGTTTTTTTGTAGGTATATAGAGTTCTTCAATTTCAAAGAATAAAACTCTTTCAGGTGGAGAGGATGCAGAGGTTTATTGAAACCGGAAGTCATACTTTTCAATCAATGTGCAGTTAGTGTGTGATAGTGAACTAACAATTACCAGGTTTGAAGCAGGAGAATTTGGGAATGGCATTCTGCTAGGTAAGTTTTTGTATGATTTTTGATTTACAATAGAAATAATTTGCTGTTTTTTTAGGGGATAGCGGTTATCCACTTAAACCTTACCTGCTCACTCCATTAGCAAATCCAACAACTCGTGCGGAACAGCTGTACAATGAAGCACAAATTAGCACCAGAAATTGCATAGAGAGGACAAATGGTGTCTACAAGAAAAGGTTTCCAGCACTCTGTTATGGGCCTAGATGCAGTTTGGATAATACATTGAATATAATAGTTGCTAGAGCTGTTCTGCACAACATCGCACTAAGCATGCATGAAGATGTTCCCCCACTACCTGAAGGAATAAATGCAGAGGAATTAAATTATTTCCTCAATCAGGGACAACTTTCAGCAGTTAATTTACAAAATAATCCAGCATATGACTTTAGACATGACTTGGTTAATTATTTTGCAAATTTATAAAAAATATAATTTTAAGAATAGGAAATAATTTGATGATATTCATAATTATTTCATATTGTAATATAATTGTTATAAATAAACGCTCATTTATTATTTAAAAAATATATTGTTCAGAAAATTTCCTAAATACATAAAAGGCAAATTTGTGATTTTCTGCCGATAAGAGAATTAGGTAAGTATATTTTGGAATGTTACACTGGTATTGTATTTTGAATAAATTGAATTCAAGTTTAAAAGTCATTATTCTGGAAAGTGGTTTTAAAACGTTGCTGTTTTTTGTTTGCCAACTCAATCTCTAGGATTTCGATTTCTAGCTTGTGCTTTTTCATAACAAGGGCATTTTCAGCTTCCGTATGTTTAAGTTGGCAGTCAATTAGCTGTAATCTTCTGTCCAGTAGGAGATCATATTTCTTACCCACATCAGATGATATCATTGGCTTAATAATTGTAGTTGGTCGTCTTCGACTTGGACGATTCTTGGGTGTCAGGCTGGTGCTAGAAGCCTAAAAAACTCCTTGAATAACAACTAATACCATAGTAAATTTGAAGAGAGCTGAACAGTCGAAATATAATACAAAGGTATATTTTTTTTTGAAAACTTGTGAAATTATCAGTGAAGCCTAAGAAGAAAAGTATAAACCAACCCTGGTTGTTCCAGATTCATTTTTTCCAAAACATATTTTCTCTTGACTCATCGGTTCTTTGATACGTAGGGGCGTACTGATAGGAGTTTGTAGTTGTACTGGGGTATATTTTTTCCAGGTATTTTCTTCACAGCCATCAATCTGTGTATCTTTTTGCAACATGAGTTCTTTTTTTTTAAATTATTCAACTCTACTTGACTTGCTTGTCTTATTTGTTTTATTGCTACATGGTCATAGTTACTACTCAAGGTCTCGGTTATAATAGCAGTCTTCTAGAAATGAATTAGATACAAGTGATTAAATTTCACAAAAAATCAACTAATAGATAATAAATTGATAAGTAAATTATTTATATTTAAACTGAAATCAAATCAAAAGGTGTAGAACTTTAATCATGTTATATGATATGTATTTTTAGCCAAATAAGATATTGCGTAGCTTTTTAATTTTAGAAAATATAAGCAAAATTATCTGAATATTTACCTCTAATGATACTGTTGGTTCTAGAACACCATCTTCCTCGATGACAAACTCAATAACATTCTCTTGCTTACCTAATTTAATAATAGGTGAAATATCAGCATCATCATCAAATTGACATGTAAACCCCAGCAATGTTTTTTTGTTCATAATGGATTCAAGAATTTGGTCCGATTCATCCTTTTTAATTTTTGGAGGAGGTCCACCTCCTGTTAACAGAATTTCTTTCCTTTCTTCGGCTAGGGATTTTCTTAATTCTTTTTGTTTGTTTGAATAGCACTTTTGTAAACAGGCTGCATTTCTATATACACCGCTGCTGGATGACGAATTAAATTCGTTCTCGATCAACTGCCAGGCCTTGTTTTTTTGGATGGAAGAAGTCCTGTCGGTTTTTTTGTCTTCCAATACAGATACATATTTACTGGCAATTAAACGCATCAAGTGCGTTTTTTCAGCAACTGAAAAATTTGGCACCCGTTTTACCGGAACTTTGTTATCAGAGATTGAAATCATTATTTTATTTGCTTCAAGACCCTATTTTTTTTCTTTTGAGAAAATGAAACCAATCCAAACCCAAACAAAACATTCAAAAGTCAAAACCAAAACAAAACAAAATTTGACATTTTTTAGGTTAGGTTGTCTTCATATTTCACTATTTTAGGGTGTTGCCAAATTTATTTGGGACTTAACAAAGCCTCATCCATTCATCGATGGTGCATACCAACAGAATTTAAGCCGAGCTTAATATTTCAGCCTGGCTTAACTAAATGCAGCTTAAGCACGAAACGGAGAATATGGCCATAAGTATTTTTACCAGGCTTGAGTTTGTGCTAAAACCCTTACGGAACCCTGATTGGCACTCTGGGATAATATTCTGACTTTCGGCAAATGAACCTAATTGAATAGAAATGTGTTTTTCGATTATTTTTGATAGAGCTGGTAAAATGCTAATGGGCCTCAGATCATTTAATTGAGTCGGGTTTGAAATTTTCCCGATGGGCTTAATAATGGCTTGATAGGGTGCGTAGTATCTATCACTCTGTAGTAAGCAGTTGACTGTTAGGTGTGATTGAGTACAAACGACTGATGATTTAATACTAATTTATTTAAGGAACGGTAACACTATTTGTACACAAATAAATGCAATATTTACAAAGGTAATTAACTAATAAATTAACTAAAGTGCTGATTTATATGTTTTACTGACCCACTGTTGTAATGTCGATGACTTTTAAAATGCTTGGCTAGCTTAGTAAATAGAAAATAATTAATAAATTTATTACAAGATAATAAGTTTTAAATTTGGAAGAAAATATGGCAAAGTTGTAATTAGACACAGCTGCATATTTATTCACTCCACAAAATGTGTGGAAGTATTGTTTTTAAAAGTCAAATATGTATATAGGTACCTATTTAAAAATACTCAAAATACCATAATAGGTCGAAAAAATGTTCAAGCAAAACCAATTCAGTGTCTGTGTCAAAAATAGTTTTCTGATGAATTATTGTGGAAAAATTATATTGTATCGGTAGGTATGGTTCGAATTAGTATGTATAAATACATAAGTACATATAAGTATATTATACTTATTGTAAGATTTTCATATACCTGGTAGTACCTTTTCAAATTCTGTGGCAATTAAATCTTTTTCTTCCTGTGTAGCTGGCATCTTGATACTTGAAGGTGCTACCTCTTTACATAAAAAGTACATTACCCTCTCTCTAATCTGTTCCAAAGTAGATAAAGCAATACGGACTTACATACGTCACTCACTTATGGCAAAAAGCGATTGAGTTGCGGGGTGAAACAAGAACAATTGCCTTAGATATATCTAAAGCATTCGACAAAGTTTGGCATGAAAATCTGCTCAACAAGCTCAAAGCAATGGGATTAACACCGAAACTTTGCACTTGGTTTGAAAGTTACCTAAAGGACAGATCCATTTATGTTGCACTGGATGGCCAGAACTCCAACTCTTACCAAATAAATGCTGGTGTGCCACAGGGAGCAATCCTTTCGCCAACTCTTTTCCTGATTTACATAAATGACCTCATAGATAAAACAGTAAATCCACTTTATTGCTTTGCAGACGATGGCAACGTAGTCTCCTCACTCATACCACCCACAGGTCTTTCCGCACGTGAATTCCATCATCTTAGACTAACTCAAATATCGCAGATAAATAACGACCTGGAGATAATAGAGGACTGGGGTAACAAAAACCTTGTACAGTTCAACGCTCAGAAAACCCAAGCATATCTGTTTTCAAAAAAGACCAGCACCGGTGAGCCAAACATCATGCTATCTGGAAGTGCTGTCACATTACAGAGTCAGTTGAACATCTTGGGGGTTACTGCAGAGACCAACATGTCTTGGCACAGTCACGTGGCAGATATTGCTATAAGGGCCTCCCAAAAGCTGGGGGTGCTATTTCGTCCAAGACATCTGTACACACCAAGCCAATTGCTGACACTCTACAAAGCCCAGATTCGACCAACTATGGAGTACTGCTCACATATATGGAGTGCAGCACCCAAACATACCTTAATGCTTTTGAATACCGTGCAAAAACGAGCTATCAAGCTGATCAATGACCCCGCACTTACTCGTAACTTGGATGGTCTCGAACATCGCAGATCTGTGGGCGATTTATCTCTCTTCTACAGGTACTGTCACGAAAAATTCTCTGAAGAGTTGGCACGTATGATTCCACCGAGAGTAGCACCTACCAGGCGAACCCGTCAAACAGACGGTAACCATGAATTTACTGTCAAACTAGAGGCACCAAGAACCTCATTATATCAGAATTCATATCTCTGGAGAACAGCATCGCTGTGGAATAAACTCTCTGCGACGGTTTTCCCTGCAGGTTACAACCTGAACCGTTTCAAGACCAACATACACCGACATTTCCGCGCACTTGCCGCTTCTCGAGCGTGATAGGACATTTCCTTGCGAGTGCGCATATCCGTAAAAAAAAAGCAATATCGAACCTTTGTGCTACATCTCTCAGGGAACTTTTGTTACCTGCAAACCTAATAAAAATATAAATGGATATTAAACTATTCTATTAATTGATTGCAATGGTTACATCAGAAAATAATACCTACCATAGAATGATAATATATGTTTTTCACTACTTATGGGAGTTTTTCCTCCATGTGATTGGTTTTTAGGGAAATATGGAGAAGCTTCAAACTTTCCAATAAGCCAATAAACAGTTTTTCTTTTTAAACGAAAGTGACTTTGAAACTAAAAAATATTAATAAATATAGGTTGCAAAATACTAATAAAAGACAATAGGTGAACTACTGCTATTTTTATTATTTAACCAAGACAGGCCCCGCAAAATAACTTGGCGAGAGCTGGCGCAGGAAGGCGTAGCCGTTATTGGCCCTTTTTTCTAGCCCAGGCAAAGCTAAGAACGTAATAAGTACTGTAGTTACGCCCCTATTTCCGATTCCTAATTTTATCTACTGCGCAAAGTGCTCTCCCGCCAAGTTATTTTGCGGGGCCTTGTAATTGAAAAATCTTACCTCTTTTTCAGAGAACTCGTGGACCACGTTTTCGATAAAGTTTTTGATTCTCGGGATTTCTTCTCTACGGCTAAGTGCAACAACTATTTCCTCATCATCCTCACTGCTCGATGAGGATAAAAAGTCCAAAATAACCGAAATTCGGTTTATTCCTAATTTTGGCATTTTTGTAGTATTTGAATTTGACATTTTTTCCTTGTTTGTGTTTGACATTATGCACTCACTCAGCACAAGCTCTTGAACCTTATGCCAAAAAATTTGCACTGAGGGCAAAACTGATTGACCTAGTTTCCCAATCGAACACAAAAAACCACTCAAGATCTCCCAATCGAACACAAAAATTGCACAAGGGTTACCCAAATTTACCAATCGGAAACGCCATTAGATTTGTTCGGACTTCAGTTCAGAATTGAACTACGCTTTCGCATTTCTTTATATAGGCTTGATATGACCAAATGCGCAAGCGCAGTCCAATTTAGAACGGATTTTGAACTGAAGTCCAAACAAACCTTTTTCCTCATTATTGAATATTGACGGATTTTTCTTCCGAGTAGAGCAAAAACGGCCAAACTTTTTGTGTTTTGTTTAAAATCTGATTTTTTTTTTGAATTTAGGACACATTTATCTGGATTTAAAATGCACACCAACACCAAGACGAATTCTCATTCAGAACTATTTTGACATATTTTTTTTAAACATAGGTAACAGGTAAACTGCCAAAGTAAACTGTGACATATTTTTTGGTGGCGTTCATTCCGCACCTGTAGTTCTGTTTCACACCAGCGTCCCCAAGCGGATGCGATCCGAAGCTTTTTTGCGCTTCGCTTCGCCTCGGCTATTTGAATATACCTCGCATCTGAAAGTACGCTTTCGCAGCTCGGAATGTAAACAACTATTTAGGCGTTCTGAGGTATTAAATAAACCTCGCACCTAAAAGTGCGCTTTCGCAGCTTGGAATTTAAATAACTATAGTTCAATTCAATTTCAATTCTTGATATCGTGGATTGGTAACTACTTTCAGACACACAATTCGTTCTTCTTCTTACTAATTTTATAGCGCCGTAAAAAAGTGAGATTTTTTTTGTTTCATCCCGAAAAGGAAGGCAAGATGCTTTTTTTCTGAAAATGTTTTTATTGAAAATATTTGTTTATTTATATTTTGGGCTAGGATAAGGATTCAGACTTGCGGTTTTCACCAGTTTCCTTATTTTTTCATCCCCTTTCCATCTAGATTATAAAAAAAGCATCAATATATTTGAAATTTCCGAGAAAAATTGGAAAATTGTCGACTTTTAGACACAGCGCCCCCTAGCGGCAACAAAACAATTTAATTTTGTCATTTTTATTATGCATTTCATTAAACAGAAAAAAACTCTTCCAAATGACACCAGATTCATTAAAATCGGTTGAAAAACAAAAAAGTTATATAACTTTTGTTCCTGACAAGTTTGAACCTTCCCCCACCTCTTATTTGAAGAGTTAGAGCAAAAAATCCTTAATAAATTTTTTTCCTAATCTCATCAAGATTTCAATAATCATATTTTCAGGATACCTTAAGTAGGCGTTTTTTGAAAATAATCACAGTTGATAGATCGCTATGATACAAAATTACTTTTCATTGTAGGTATCTGATAAAAATTTTATTCTCTTCAATTTTCATGTCTTCATTTTTTTCGAAAAAAAGGACCGTTTTCGAGTTATTCGCGGTTTTTCCCAAACAGTGCTGAAATTCAAGATGGCGGACGACTTTTTTTGGTGAAGCAACAGTCGGAGGCATGGGGACTTTTAGTATATTAATAAGAGGTACTAGGGCTACTTATTTTTGATAGTCGTAGCTTTATAAAAAAAAATTGCATTTTCAACATTGCGAATTCCATAACTGCACTGGCCTATAAGTAATTAAATCATCAAGGTGTCATTTAAATTTATTCAGTAGGTGCCGATCCAATTTAATAGTACCTCGATTGTCGACTTAT